GCGTCAGGGGCCCGATTCCTGCAGGCGCGTTGGATAAGTTCAAGGAGTTCGCGCTGAAGGCGAACAAGCCATCTAAGCAGTGGTACGCGCGGCACGCGATGTGGGACGTGGCGTCGAAGATGAAGCCTGAGCTGAAGTCCTTGTGTGAGGTGGGCGAGCACAAGCGATTGTGTTAACGAACAGTGAGTACGAGCAGTGCCTCAAGCAAGTCCATGACAATCTCCGAATCCATAAGAACCATGGCCGTTCTGGCTTCGTATACGAGAAGGGGGCAGGGGTGCGGACACTGCAGGATCGCTGCGGGGAGGGAACTACTCGGTTCGGATCGGAGAGGGAGTCCTACAATGGGCAGCAGGGGGGGAAGGTGTTCATGTGGTACAGCAGGGCGGTCTTCAACAAGTACCTGGGGCAGCTGCAAGCTTCCGAAATGGATTGTAGCGAGAAGGACTGCGTGGAGGCGTTGCGGTTGACCAGCGAGGAGATTCGGCGGTACCCAATGAAGCAGCAGTATCTGAGACCGTACGCAGGCCCGCAGTGCTATCCGCACATTGATCCGCGTTCGAAGGAGAACAGGCTGCACGCGAACGAGAGAATGGGGCATGCGCTGGGAGAGGATCCGCAGGGGGGTGGCGACGGCGGCGCCAGGCCCGAGGCGTGCGGGGGAGCCGACGACGGGGCGTCGCACTTGTTCTGTATGCGGAATTGGGCGCAGTGCGATCGGTGCCACTGCTGGCGCCTGCTTCTGCCTGCCTGCGCTGCGCGCGCGCGAGGGATGAGTACTACAGGGTTCGCGACACCGACTTGGATTGGGAGGGGTGGTTGACGGGGGCGGCGCATCGGTGTGCGGCGGCGGCTGGTGCGTCGAGAGACCAGGGCGCTGCGCTCGGTGGGGGGGGCGGCGGCGCCGTGGAGGGTGCGATGCAGCAGGGCGGCGGCGCGGACGAGGGCGGCGGTGGGGGGGAGATGCGCGGCGGCGCTCGGAAGCGGCGCCTGGGGCGGAAGACATCCGAGGCGGAGGCTGCCGAGCCCGTCGCGGTGCGCGGCGGGGCGCGGAAGCGGCGGTTGGGGCGCAAGACGTCCGAGGCGGAGGCCGCTGCGAGCGGAGCGGGGCGCAGGGGCGCGGAGGAGGGGCGAGCTGGCGAGGGGGGCGCGGCGGTGCCGGAGGCGCGCCGGGGGCGCCGGAGACTCGAGCGCAAGACGTCCGCCGAAGAAGGGGCCGAAGCGGGCGGCGCGGTTCGCGGAGCCGTGGACGAGGAGGGCGGTGGCGACGAGACATTCGTCGGCATGGCGGAGTTATCGGCCTCCGATTGCGACGACGAGCGTTCTGCGTCAGATCATGAGTGCGCCTCGGAAGAAGACGCGGCACCGCTGCCGCGCGAGGTGCGCAGCGCGCTCGATGCGGAGCTGGTGCGTTTCGCTGGTGCTGGGCCGCCGACGGAGGCAGACTGGGCAGAGGCGCGAGCGGCCGAGGAGGGGCGCGGGAGCGCGCCGCGCCGCGCGGGATTGTCGCGAACCGGAGGTGGGGATGCGCGGGCGTGGGCAGTTGCGTCCGTGCCCCACCTCAAGGACAAGCGGATGGTGGCATTGGTCGGTGCCGTCCGCGAGTACCTGGTGTTGTGCCGTCAGTGCGACCGGGGTAGTTTTCGGATCCAGGGGTCGGACGGCGATAAGTTGTGGGTTGCGCTGATGGAGCCGGGGCGGCCAGGACAGTTCGGGCGCGTGCTGCTGGAGCTGGAGGATCGCGCGCGCGGTCGTGGGCCGAGCGCGGAGCGTTCGTCTTGGGAGGCGATAGCCGTGGAGGAGGATTTCCGTCGTCGCTCGGAGTGGCCCCGAGTGCGTTTCGAGTGTAGTATGTTGCAGACGCCGGTCGTGTCCGAGAGCGGCGGGACGCAGTGGCGGGCGGTGCGGTGCTGCGATGAGCCGGACGGGGGCGATGCGGACGATTTCCAGGCTCTGTGGCAGCGCGAGTCGCGGGTCGCGGCCGGCTTCGCAGCGAACGTGGTTCGGGATGACGACGTGGTCGTGTTGCCTGTGGAGCGGCCTGCCGGGTGGACGGAGCCCGCGCACATGGCGGGGGCGTGGTGGCGGGGCCAGGGCCCGCGGGAGCGCAGAGCAGAGGAGGGGGAGAATCCCGGGCGCGTCTGGGTGGGCCAGCTGCAGGAGGACGCCGGCGTGGCGGGGCTGCTGCCCGAGGGCGGCGCGGGCGAGCGCACTGCGAAAGAAGGGCTCGACGCGCTGCAGCAGGCCGGTCAGGGAGCGCGGGGGGCGGGTCGCGCGGGTCGTGGCCGGGGGCGCCGAGCGAAGAAGCGCGGTCGGTACGGGAATGATTTGCGGGCCGTTATTCGGACCAGATGGGCGCCTGGGAGGTCGTCGGAAGGTGCCGGCCCGGGCGTCGCGGAGTCGTTTGTGTTTGGATCAGCGCCAGAATCGGAGCATTGGGAGATTCGTGTGGAGGCGCGTTTGCGCGAGCGCTGCGGAGGGCGTGTAGACCAACGAGCGCGTGTTGCTGCAGGGGACGTTCACCAGAAGTGCATGCTGCTGGCGCTGAAGACGGTGCCGCTGCGCGTGGCGAAGTATGACGTGCAGCTGCGCGATGCGTCCGTGCGGGCCGTGCAGGCGGCGCAGGCGATCCTGACGCGCATGGTGAAGTTCACGTGCCACGAGTGCCAGGAGCGGTTCCCGGCGTTCCACCCTGCCTTCGAGCCGCCGGACCAGCTGGCGGATGAGATGCTGCTGCTGCGTCGCGGCGGGGACGGGCTGGCTGCGTGCAGCACGGAGGTGGCCGAGTGGGACGAGGTGCCGCCGAGCGACCCGCCGGATGGCTTCGCCCTGGAGTGCGCGGGCGTGTGCATGCGGTGTAGGCGGGATCTGGACAAGCAGGCGGCGGCCGCGCCCACGGAAGACGACCTGTATCAGGTGGTGGGTCTCCGCACCGCGCAGAATCACATGGACCCGTGCTTCCGGTTCCCCTCCGATGACCTGCGCGACCTGTTCGACCAGGCCACGCTCACGGAGAGCCTGCTCATTGCTCTGGACCACATGCAGGTGCATCTGGCCACCGTGTCTCGGACAGGGCTGCGCAAGTTCCGCAAGAACATCATCTCGTTCCCGCAGGATGTGGCCGGGTTCGCGCGGCGTCACGAGCTAATGTCGGAGAACCACAAATATGGTGGTCTGGTGCCACTCCGGGTTTGGTGACCACTTTGTGCCCTGAACACATGTGGATCCAAGTGGGAGCTAAAATGAGTGTGCGAAGCCGTGTAAGCAACAAAAATCCTCCTCCTCCTCCTCCTCCTCCTCTCCTCCGCGCCCTCCTTCTCCTCCCTCCTCTCCTCCGCGTCCTCTTCCTTCTCCTCCTCCTGCTCCTCCTCCTCTCCTCCTCCTCCTCCTCCTCCTCCTGCTCCTGGTGCTCCTCCCCCTCCTCCTCCACGCGTTAGAGCGGTGGGGTGTGTGTGTGTGGGGGGGGGGATTAGGGAGAGGGGGAAAGGCAAGAAAGAGCAGCGGGAGAGGGATGGGATTAGGGAAGGGATAAGGGAGGGGAATCGGGATGAGAGTAGGGATGGGATGAGGGATGGGATTGGGATGAAAGTAAGGGAAGGCACGAAAGGACAGGGGATGGGATAAAGGGTGGGATAAGGAAAGGGAGAAGGGATGGGATCAGCGAAGGGATAAGGGATGGGAGAAGGGATGGGATCAGGGAGGGATGGGATTGGGGATTGGATTAGGGATGGGATAAGGGGGGCATGAAAGGGCGGTTGGGGAGGGTTGAGACTAGGGAGGGGATAAGGGAGGGTCGGGGCGTGGGGATGGCAGTGGGGAGGGCTGAAGTCACACAAGCTGGGGATGGGGAAGGGCGAGGAGGGCAGAATAGGGCGAGAACGGGGGTTCGAGGCTGGAGGGGGCAAGGAAGGGGGATGGGATAATCGAGGGCAGGACTGCATGCTGCTGGAGGGTGAAGGGGGGGAGGGGGATCTGGGCGGCGGGTGAGGGGGGCATGGAGGGGCTGCGACAAGTGGGGAGAGATCTGTCCGAGGAGGGAGCGGTGGGGGAGGGTAAGCTCGGAGTCACGCGGGGTAAGGGGGGGAAGAAGAGGACAAGGGAACAAGGAAGCGAGGGAGAGAGAGCAAGGGAGAGAAGGGAGAGCCGCTCGAGGTAATGGGGGAGGCATGGACGGAGAAGGCGGGGTCCCGAAAACCAAGAATCCTCGAACCGCGACCCTCGAGGCGCGACGACGACGACGACGACGACGACGACAACTACGACGACGACGACGACGACGACGACGACGGAGGAGGAGGGTTCCGAGGGCGAGTCGAGCTGCGCCCGTCAGCCAGTGCTGCGCGCAGTCACGCAGCGCTCGCCCCTGAGGACCGCGGTCCTCGTTATAACTCCTCCTCCTCCTCCTCCTCCTCCTCCTCCTCCTCCTCCTCCTCCTCCCCCCCTCCTCCTCCTCCTTCCTCCCTCCTCCTCCTCCTCCTCCCCCTCCTCCTCCTCCTCCCCCTCCTCCTCCTCCGCCTGCCGCGCAGCGGCGGCCGCCCTCAGCCCTGGCCCTGCAGCGCCGCGGGCATCGCCGCGCCAGGGCACGCCTGTGCGCGGGCGGGCGGACGGGGGGGGGGGGCAGTGCCCGAGGAGGGGGGGGGGCTCCATCCGTGTAGCTGGCGCGCCCTCTAAGGGAAGGCGAGATCCCCGTATCGGACGCGGCCAGCCCCCTCCCCCTCCCCATCAGGACGCCCGCGGGAGGAGGAGGAGGAGGAGGAGGAGGAGGAGGAGGAGGAGGAGGATTGGAGGAGGATTGGAGGAGGAGGAGGAGGATGAGGAGGAGGAGGAGGAGGAGGAGGAGGTGGATGGGGAGGAGGAGGAGGAGGAGGAGGAGGAGGAGGAGGTGGATGGGGAGGATGAGGGGAGGAGGAGGAGGAGGAGGAGGAGGAGGAGGAGGAGGGAGCGGAGGAGGAGGAGGATTGGGGGTGGATGGCGGTTGGTTTAGCATGTGCCCAAACGGCCTTGCAATGCCGCGACCAGAGGACGCGGCACGCCTCCACGTTCGCGAGCTCCATGCCGCGCCTGGTCCACGCGACGGACTTGGTGCCCTGGCCAGGGTACGCCAGCTGGAAACGGCCAGCGATGTCGTCGACGTGGACGCTGCCGACAGGTGGCCGATTCTTCTCGGGCCACGCGGGGTCTCCGCGGACTGTGGCCCACCAGCTCGCGGCATTGGGCGCTGCCACGGGCTTCTTGGCGGCGCCCTTCGCCGCTGGACCCTTCTTGAACATGTCCTTCGTCACGGCCTCGAGGGCCGAGTGCAGCGCCTCCCGCAGTGCCTTGTTGGCCTGCTGCCCAGCGTCGAACTTCTTGAGCTGGTCCTTGTCGCCCGACGACACGACCTTCTCGACGTCGTCGATGTTGATGTGCTCGGTCCAGTCCTCCTCGGCCTTGTGGCCGATGCGCTTCTGCAAGGCGAGGTGGGACTCCTCCTGCGTCATGGTCGGCTTGATCTCCTTCATCAGGCAGACTGCGAGGGAGGTCTCGTAGTCCAGGCCGCCGACGCACTCCTGGGGCGCGGCCGCCTTGCGCAGGCCGAACAGCTTCTTCATCAGGCCCTCGCTCACGCCCGCGAAGCCGACCGAACGCAGGTAGTCCAGCAGCGGCACGGGCTCGGCGAGCTTGGTGAGCAGACCCATGTTGGTGCTCGTGAGGCTGCCGTCCAAGAACGCACGCAGCGGCGACGCAACCGAGTGGGGGAGCACAGTGACCGCCTCGAAGTCATGGACGGTGTGCCAGACCAGCTTTGGCGCATGAGCGTCCAGAGACACGTGCTGCGTCCCAGCGCTGCGCACGGCGGGCCATCCCAACAACGCTGACTCGCAGGAGTACAGCACCAGGAACACCGTCGGCTCGGGGTCCTTCAAGCAGACGAACACACGCTCTGGCACCAATGCCGACCTCCAGGCAGTGTTGGAGAGCGGCCAGTTCTCATCTGAGGCAAGCACCCTGTGCAGATGATGATCAGCAGGCTGGCGGCGAGCACTCACCGCGTCGAACGTCATCCACGTCTGCTCGCCACGAATGCCTCGCAACTTGGCCAGCGCATCCTCGGCGACAACCTGGCCAGTGAAGATGCACGACACGTCGCCAATGTCCTGGATGGGGACGACGCCGTCTGTGTCGATCTCCTCCATGTCGTACTGCGCCAGCACGCCATGCTGACGGGGGGCCTGCCACACGCGCCATGGGGCCATGTGCTTGCTGGCGGACGCGCGGGCCTCGGAGCCCCTCACCGTGCCAAGGGAATCCTCCACCAACTTGTCATTGCCGAAACCGCTGAAGAGCCTCCTCACAAACGCTACGATGGACGGATGCAGCTCCCAATTGACAGACGCAGCGAAACGGCAGAAATCTCTCATGGGCCTCACGTTCAAGCTGTTGCGCTCAACCATCGGCTCGATGATCGGGCTCTTGACCCGACGTGCTTTGCAGAGAGCATTCCAGTCGGCACCTCGCGGGAAGCGAAAACAACGGGGCCCTAACTACAATCGCCCCCATATCGCACTCCACCAAAAGCTGGCAAATCTGTGCCCAGAGGGGGTGGGGAGGGGAGGAGGTGGAGTACGTATATGAGTGGGGGAAGTTGGGCGTCCCGCTATGCCTCCCTCCCACCCGCCTGCCCTCACTGTGGCTTTCCCAACCGCTCCTGTACCCCCCCGTCGTAACCTCCCCACCCCTCTCCTGTCCGTTATCATCGGCTTCCTCCTCCTCCCCATCCGCGCCATCCACATCCACTCAATCCTCCTCCTCATCCATCCTCCTCCTGATCCCACTGGTCCTCCTCATCACCCCAGCCCTCTCGCATTCCCCCGCTCCAGCCCCCTTCCGCCTCCTCCTCCTCCTCGCCCTCATCATGACCCCTCGTATCGCATCCCAACCGTGCTGGCCACCACCTTTGCAACCGCCCAGTGCACGCGCAGCTGCAAGGCATGCCGCCGCCGTCGCGGGGTCGTCGCCTGCAATCGGGGCCAGCGCGTGCGGGTGCGACCACGTGCACCTGGCCATGCTCGCAGACCTCTCCGAGGCGATGCAAGCGAATATGTGCATCATCTCGGTGGCGACCGCGTCCTGGCACGTCACCGCGGGGTGCGCCACGGACAGCTGCCCCCGAAGCTCGGGGTCGAACTCGACGGTGAGACCAATCTGCTTTAACTTCTCAACGTTGCTGAGAGACTTGAACGACGACTTCAAGGTGTCGAACCAGCTCCCGTTAGCGACGCCAGCGTAGTAGGCCAGGGTTGCGTCTGCCCCCCTCATGTCCGTAGCGCCTGCATGCTCGATCTCAAAGGGCCCCGCCACGCACTGGATCATCCTGCTCTTTACAATCAGCTCTGGGTTCGCCATGACCTTGGCAAGGGAATGAACGTGGTTCGCCGAGCCAGTCATCACGGCGGCTACTTTCTGCTTCGCCGACGCCTTGGCCTTGGCAGCCGTCACGGGCTTGGCCGCAGCGCCGCTCTTCCCCTTGGCGACAGCAGGCGCCGATGAATTCGCGCTCCCAGGAGCGCCGCCCACGGCGACGCTGGCCACCCCCAGCTGCAGTTGGCAGGCGGCCGCCAACCTCGGGCCAGGGTTCCACAAGTCGTCCCAGTGCTCGGCCCAGCCCTTCGCCTGCGCGATGGCTGCAAGAGCCAGCAGCTTCGTGTGGTAGTGCTTGTCGCCCTCCCGCATGCTCTTCAGGATGGAAAACCACCGCTTCGCCGCGGCCTTGCTGCCCTTGATCTGGAACGGAGCCTCGGCCGCGAACCCAGCGACGAACCTCTGGCGAGCGCTGGCGTCCGTCTCCCACGGCTGCGCCCAACCGTGATCGTTGCAGATCTGCGGCCAAAGCTTCAGGAGAAGAGGGTCGTCTGGAGTCATCGCCTTGACGAGGGTCCTCGCCATGTCCTGCAACTCCTCGAAATATTGGCCGCTCACCCAGGGGCCATAAGCGATGTTCGCCTCGAACAGCCTCAGCAAACAAGTGCCATAAACGCCAGCGAGCTGGAGACCGCGATCGACGTCGTTGCAGCGACGGTGCATGTGTCCGAACAGCCACACGAACTGCCCTTGGCACTTGTAGGAGAGGTAGTAAGCAGCGCACCACTGTTTCTGCTCCTGGTCCATCACAGTAGTCAAACAAGCTGGGAGCTGCTGGTGCGCAGGCCACGGCGCGTCGGGGTCGTCGGCCTCTGTGGGGGTCCAGTCCAGCAGTGTGCGCCCCATACCTCGAAGAGCCGTCTCCACACAACACAGCCAATCGAACGACGCCATCCTGGGCTCCTCCTTCAACTTCTTGGCCCGCTTGGCGGCGACGGCTGGCCCTGCGTCGGTCTGGCGCTGGCGCTTCTGCACGAAGCTCAAGATGCCCTCCTTGTGGGCCGTCATCTCCTCCCTGGTGTAGTCGCTGCCAGCCGTCTTCTCCGTGGTGCGAAGTGCCCGAACTGCCTGGGGGCATCGAGAAAAAAACTCCTCCGCCTCCTTCTCCCTCCCTCCACCCACCCGATCCCCCCACGCTCGACTAGGGCGTGACCTCGCAGACCCATCTCGGGGCCCTCCTGAGCGCCATGTGGGTCCCCCAAGATAGCCCTGGAGATCTCCATGAGGGCCCTCTGGTGACCTCAGGAGAACCCCAGGAGGGCCCCGAGAGGGCACCCCCCCTGACAATCACCCAAGAGAGCCTCCTGGGTGCGTAGGTGGGGGGGGCCTATCGGCGTCCTCCCAAGGCATTCCCAAGGCCCCCAGACGGCCCTGGACGGCTCGCGAAAACCTTCAGACGGTCCAGAAGGGGCCGCTCAGAAAGGCCTCACAGGGGCCAGCTGAATTGCCCCCCAGAGAGGACCCCCTGGGCGACAACCAACGGGCCCCTCTCGAGGCCCCCTGGAGGCCCTCTCGGGGCTCCTGGAGCGGCCCTGGCAACCCCCAAGCGGTTTTCAGACAGCCCCAGGGCGGCCCCCCCCGTTCCCGCCCCCCACCCCCGCGCCCCAGGGGGACCCCGGGATATTTGTATACTTTTGCGGCCCCGCGTGTGTCTGGCAGGCGGCGCCTCGGCGACCGCCGTCCAACCCCCGATTTGGGACCCCGGGTTATGTGTATACTTTTGCTCTGAAGAATCCAACACATTCCAGGGGACCCCGGGTTTTTTGCATACTTTTGCTGCGTTTTCCAAGACGGCCTGGGGGCCGCGGGGGCGCGCCCCGTGAGGCCCTCCGAAAGCGGGGGGGCAGGGGGGGAGGGAATTGCGCGGGGGCCGTGGTGGGCTCGGGGAGGGCCCAGGGGCGCGGGGGGGTGGGCCTCGGGGAAGGGCGCCTGCCGAAACGCAAAGGTTCGACCCCCCCCGCGCGGGCCCCCCATAGGGCCCCCTCCCCCCACCCCCCCCCGCAGGTGCTCAGGGGGGGGGGTAGCGCACATGTAAATCCATTGCTACCCAGAGGCCCGCCCCCTCCTCCAACCCGTCGCGGGGGGGAGGAGGAGGAGGAGGAGGAGGAGGAGGGGGGGGAGGAGGAGGAGGAGGAGGAGGAGGAGGAGGAGGAGGAGGAGGAGTAAGAGGAGGAGGAGGCGGAGTAGGAGGTGGAGGAGGAGGTGGAGCAGGAGGAGAAGGTCACAAGCAGGAGGAGTGGGAGGAGGAGGTGGATGAGGAGGTGGAGGAATTTAAGCAGCAACCTGAAGCCTGTGGTGGTAGCCACATGGCCTGCTTCGCCTCGTGGGAGAACAAGCCAACGAGCATCCAGTCCTTGCCGCCAGCGCGGGTGGCGTCCAATATAAGAGATCCATCTGCCATGCGAGCTGCAACCAATCTGCCATTCACCAAGTACTGCGTCATATCCGTCTTCGGGAAAGCTGCGCCAGATCCAGCGCGTAGTTGTTTCTTGCCGATGAACCGCAGCTTCTTCTTGCCGCGCTTCATGTGCTGACAGGCTGACTTAGCTTGCTCGGCGGCCAAGAACTGAGATGGCGTCTGCAGCGAAGGGTTGTTCGCCACTGCGTTGCACACCTCAACCTTGTATCTGATCGAAACTCGTCGTGACTTGCTGCTGCCCTCGCGGTAGAGCGGAGGAATCGCAGTGGAGTTCGTCTCTGACCAGAATGTAGCCCCCCTCGAGGATTCCACAGTAGCACCAATCATATCTAACAAAGTTGTGAAGATAACATTCGCCATCTCTGCCCGCTGCTTTCTGGACTTCTGTTTCAAGGCACCGTAGCATTTCAACATCACCATTCCAACTGGGGCAGTAGCGCTTCCCCCACATATGCCTGCAAATCGCTGGGCCAAGCGTTGGTTCGTGGTCGTGAACTGCACCATCTTGCCATTCACGGTGACCTCGCCGAACACGTTAGAGCCGAACGACATGACCACAGGAATGCCTTGTGCCCCTGCCGCGCATTTGGTCACCACGGCCTCGATGAAGAATGCACAGCACGAGTCCACGTCGTGCCCAGGCGTGATGTGGCAATTCCCCTGGGAAAGTCCGCAAGCAATGGCAATGGCTGCCTCGGGCGTGGCGCTGAACTCCTGGTCGCACATCGTGAGCTGCTCATCTGGAAGTTGTTCCCGTCGGACCCTGGCTGTGTGACGGGCAGAGCACAACGAGTTGACCAGGTGATCTGCTGGGACGCCTACATCATGCATGTACTTGCGAAGAGTCACCTTTCGCCTCCCAATCCATCCACCGTCGAACGCTCCACCGATGACGAAGTCCAAAACCCTGGGCAAATTGAAACGAACGCACCTTGGTTTCGGCATGCTGCTGATGTAGACTTCCAAGTTCAAGTCGTACACCTCCTTGTATTGAAAAGCGTGTGTCTTGCTGGGTGCGTGCAACGCCGTGTCTCGCCAAGTCGACTCTCTCGTGGCGACGTCCATGATGAAGCGCCTGCCGTTGTTATCTCCAGGAGCGTCGTTCATGTACAGTGCTTTTGTCAGGCGCTCTCTCGCCCAGAAGCTGTCACTCCCTCCCACTGAAGAAACCCGCGCGTCCTCGCCGACTGCATCGATGCTCCACCGCCCGTCCAGATGCAAGAGTTCGCCCGTCCCCGAGTGCGCCAGCGCGTCCCCCGCCACCGCGTGGCGAAGCACAACCCAGCCGCGCTCATCGAACACCGGAGGCATCAGCCTCAAACATGGAAATATGGAGAATATGGAATAAACTGCGCGCAGCAACATCATCTTGCAGCAAAACTTGCTGCGGCCCATATCCCCTCCCAACCCTCGCCGCCCCTCTCCCCCCAACCCTCACTATCCCATAATCCCCGTACTCCCCGTCACGAGGGGAGAGGATGCGGAGGATGCGGAGGAGGAGGGGGATGGGACTGATGTCGGGGAATGCTATGGAGGATGAGGCAATGTTGCGGGTGGGGAGGGCAGTGGTGTCTAGATGGGAGGGGGGTGATGTCTAGGAATGCGGATGCGATGAGCGGTGAAGTAGCCCACCGAATGGATTGTTTTTTTTTTGTTGCTGCAGCTCGGCGCCTTGGCGACGGGGCGGGCCCCCTGAGCAGGTGCAAGCACAGGAACCGATGTGTAGCGCACTGCAAAAGCTAGAAGCAGTCAGTGCGAGGCAGGCCGCGAGCGTCTGCGAACGAACGCCCTAGTCAGAACTGTCGTCCTCAGCGCCATCAGGGGCACTCTCATCCTCAGGGTAGGCCTGGGTCTCGGTGTTCGCCTCGGCCTGCTCAGCGGCGTCGCGCTCGTCGAGCTGGCGGAAGAGGTCGCAGATCACCCCGTGGAGCTCCTCGCCAGGGTGGGTGCAGCCGCCGCGATGCGTCACCATGAGGAGCTCCCCCACGCACCGACTGCCGTGCACCTGCATGTGCTCGGCCGACGTCACGTCACAACTGCTGTAGTCCACATCGATGAGCTTGAACGGCGTCTCCCCGCCCTTGTCATTGACGAGGTGCTCGTAGCCAGGCGGGGTGCTGCTGGTCAGGGTGAGGGCCGCGACCTGGCCGCTGAGGAAGTAGAAGTCCATCTGCTCCTTCATCTCCGTATTGAGCGAGACGGCCAGCCTCGACACCAGGGTGCCGTGGCGTCGAAGGACGCGCTTGTTCCCCGTGCAGTCCTTCTCGCACTGGGACCGCTTGAGTGACATCACGGCGGAGCCCTCGGTGCGCTGGGATGGATGTCGCAGGCTAGCGAAAATCGGTTGTGCCCGAGCCACAACACCTACCACTGTCGGAGGGCGTGGGCGGGGACGGGAGCGGAGCACACGGGGGCCCCCATGTGAGCAACCCCATTGGACTGAAAGGGTCTCAGGGGGGCGTTGCATTGACGATGCCACGATCCTCATGGGGGCCCGTGCAGCCTGAACAAACCTCAGGGAGGGGGGGGGGGGGGGCATTGCATGCAACCTGTTTGACCTGAACGATCCCCAGGGGGGCCTCGTGAAGCTTGAATGGTCCTCGGGGGAGGAGTTGTATGGGCAAAACCAGAGGGGCCCTTATCAGGAGGCCAGCTGAGCGAAGCTGCGGGGGCCCTCACGCCCGTCGCCATCTGCCCTGATGCCACAAAACCCGAAGGAAACCACGACGACGACGACGACGACGACGACGACGACGACGACGACGACGACGACGACGACGACGACGCCGTCCCCCTCCACCCACCTCCTCCACGTAGGGCCGACGACAAGACGGAGGTGTGACGACGACGCTCTAGTGTCAGGTCGAGCCTGAGGGTCAAACTGGATAAGCTGCATCTCGCATACGACGCTGTAGAGCTGACGCTAGAAGATAACATGCGTGGCAGCTCGCATCGAAGAGGGGCGCCCGAGCGAGACTGGCGGTGCGCCGCTCGAGCTAGCTGAACACACCTACCAACTTCATGTCAAAAGAATGCGCGCCGAGTCGGCACCTCGCGCGCCGAGACTGCCCCAGCGGGGGGCTCCTCAGCTGGGGGCGGCGCCCTCGGGGGCTGCTGGAGGCGGCGCCGCGGGCGGCCCCGCGGGCGACGTCGCCTTCGCCTTGGGCGTGGGCGATGCCTTGGGGGTCGCCGCCGCCGAACCCGCAGGCGAAGCACCGCCAGGCGTAGACGGCGCCCCAGCGCGCTCCAAGACGCCGCGGAACTGGATCGCCCCGTCTGGGTACTCGAAGGCGTCGTTGTTCTGCACGCAGCCGTGCCCAGGGTGCTGGTGGTCGAGGAGCTTCTTCAAATTCTGGGTGAACCCAGTCGGCTCGTCAACGAGCGTCGCCTGGTCCAGGATGCCGTTGTTGATGATCTTCAGGTCGGTCTTGGCCTGCAGGAACTCCCGCGAGAAGCCCAGAGAGATCGAGGCCTCAGCACCAAGCAAGGGGCACACGATCTTGGTGATGTCCGTGTCCTTCGCGAACCAGCCGTAGATGTGGCAATTCTCGGGGGTGAGGTTGGTCAGCCGCTTGCCGTGGCCGACGTAGCGCTGCCGCAGGACGCTGAACAAGGGGCCCTCGTAGCCAGCGGCGTCGTGGTCCTTGGG